TTTTTTTTTTATTTTTATTGGTCGTTCATAACATTACATAGTTCTTAATACATCATATTACAYGGTTTGATTCAAGTGGATTATGAACATCTTGAAACCGATAAAAACAAAGCTACACCACTGACTTCTAGTGGTTGTAGGAATTCTATACACTATACATGACAAAAGTTTACTCTAAAATCTCAACCTGGTGGTACAGATGGCTAGAGCCTGCCTAGTAATCCAAGTGTTGGATTTGAAGTTAATATTTGTTGGTTATCTTTGCCCAGAGAATTCCTATTCCGCAGTTACCAATTTCACCCCAACCTTTGCCATCCATCTCAGAAATCCAGGCCTTTGGTCACAAAGAGATTAGAAACCTAGTACAGATGGCTCAGCATAAATCTATCACCACTGTTAAAAAAGGGCAACATCAAAAGAGATGCCTTGTTAACTTGCTACCAGATTCATAGTATCTTAGCATGTTTTTTTGCAGGTAATTRAACATATTACAGTTATTAAGATCAAGTCTGTATGATCTTTATAAATGAAGATCTATTTATAAGAGCTATATAAATAAAACCTTTTGGCCTTACACCAAACTGGTTCATATGGAAATCAGTAGTGTTGTCTTAATGTTAGAATTCAGATTTTTCTAACAAAACCTCTCATTAAATTTTTACTCAAAAACCATTGGGTTTAGGAAGTGTTATTTTCCAAATAAAATGTTTAATTAGTACCTAATTTAGAGAACCAAAATGGTTGCTCATGGCCCCTGCCTGTCTCAAATTTAGGGGAAAAAAAAGTATGCCTCATCGAAAAATATTAACTATTAAAAAGTTACATGCAATAATAAAGAAAATTTCCCCTTAATGACTGAAAGTCCTTTAAGCTGTGGCCTCTTCAGTGGAAAATCTTCTCTCAACTAAAAGCCTGGAAAAGAGGCATACCAGAAAATGAGCATTTTATATAGGAGATAAAATGGAGGCCAGGAAAACAAGAATTTTAGGGAAAGAGAGAGGGATCAGGTAGGATGATTTCAGGCAGGAAAGCATTATAAAAAAGAGTTTTGGGAGACCTCAAAAAAAAAAAAAAAGAAAGAAAGAAGAAACAATTGGTGAGAATCAGATGCACATGAATGAGTTCTTTGATATCCAGAGATAGATTACACCCAGCAACCAATTGTTTTTATCATTTTGTTGAGTGAGGTGTAGTGGGAAAATGATGCCAGATAATAAACATGAATGAAATATTTATAATTTAGAACATCATACAATTCTAAACACATGATTTTTACATATCTTAATGTAATTTTTTTAATATTATACACCAATGCATGCTCATTGTGGAAGAACAAAAACATAATAGATGCCGATGTAATCCATGTTTTTTTTTTAATAAGAGAGAGAGAGAGAGAGAGAGAGAGAGGAGAGAGAGAATTTCAATATTTATTCAGTTTTTGGCATACACAACATCTTTGTTTGTATGTGGTGCTGAGAATCGAACCCGGGCCGCACGCATGCCAGGCGCACGCACTACCACTTGAGCCACATCCCCAGCCCCTGTAATCCATGTTTACACTTTGGAGAATCGGATGTTTTTTTTCCTGTCTCTACCAACCTATTTCACAATGGAATAAACCAGAAGATGCTATGTTGCAGACTTCTTAATTAGTCATGAATATCTTTCCCATGGCCTCAAACGGAGGCTTAGAATATACTTATTATTGCTTCATTTTGTTCTGCTACTATTGCTGGACTTCTAGGTTATGTCCATGCTTTTACTTGTATAAAAAGAAAGATAAGGGGGCTGGGGTTGTGGCTCAGTGGTGGAATGCTTGCCTCACACAAATGAGGCAGTGGGTTCAATCCTCAGAACCACGTAAAAATAAATAAATAAAGGTATTGTGTCCATCTAAAACTTAAAAAATATTTTAAAAAGTAAAAAAGAAAGAGGGCTGGGGTTATGGCTCAGTGGTAGAGCACTCGCCTAGCACGTGCGAGGCACTGAGTTCAATCCTCAGCACTACATAAAAATAAATAAAATATGGGCTGGGGATGTGGCTCAAGCGGTAGCGCGCTCCCCTGGCATGCTTGTGGCCCGGGTTGATCCTCAGCACCACATACCAACAAAGATGTTGTGTCCGCCGAGAACTAAAAAATAAATACTAAAAAAAATTTTTTTAAAAATTAAATAAATAAAATAAAGTTATTGTGTCCAACTACAACTAAAAAAATTTTTTTAAAAAATAAAAATAAATAAAGATAAGAAACATTTCTGGACCATGTTTATGACTATTTACTGAGAATGAATTATGGAAATAAAATTTCCCATTCAAAGGATTCATGTCAAGCCTTTTGCCATTCAGTTCGATTTGCCCTGCAAAAAAAGCTAACACAAACATCAAAACATCAGCAACATATGAGTATGGACAAACTCCAAATACCAAAAACAAAACAAAACACCCCACAAACTTTTAAAAGAATGGACCAACTTGATGTGGGGAAAGGAACCTCACTATAATTTTTATTTGCATCTGTCTAAAGTAGACCATGCAATGTATTTTATATAGCTCCAAGAACACTTTTGTTTACCACACTAATAATTTATAGAAAGTAGGTTACACTTTATTGCCTCTACTAGGTCTTCCATCCTAAAGTTACTTTAACTTTGTTCATGTTGCTAAAACACTTAACTACAAAGTTTAAAATTTCATTAATCAGGTATGTGTTTTGTTTATGTATTACTGAAACACCTAAGTGTTTGATATTATTTGAATGAAGTAACTATGTAATGGAAAGAACTTTTCATTTTCCATGTAAATGTTTTGATGTGGTTTGGCTTTAGCCATAGATGCCTTTCAAACTATTTAATTGGTATTGAAGTCATTATTTTTCCCATCTTCAAAATGTCCTTGCGTTCGAAAACTTAAAGTTCTGGAATCACACAACTTTAGTGAGTAAAATTAATCATATTTAAATAATATTTTAAACATGTTGTTGTTGGACATTGTGTAGATCATCCCCCCACACACCTATAAAGAAAAGAGACACCAGATTTCAGGTAGTTACCTGRGGTAACCTTTTCCAGAGCATAATGAACAGTAACTTAATTGAGGTGCTAACATTGTCCTGCCAAATTAGATAATGCATCTGGATGATCAAGACCTAAGCAGGAGGGGGAAATGATAGAAGGTTCATCTTTATGCCAGTTTCACTATTTCCCTAATCCTCCACAAAACATATTCCTGAGGCTGTTTAATAAGCCAATCCATTTTATATTCAACAATATGCCCATATTTGCTAACATATACTGCTATAAAGCAATAGGGGAATTGAACATGGAATTGAAGCCTTTGCCTCCAATTCCATTCTTCAGAAGACCAACTCATATGCAAAAGGAAGAAGAAGAAAGGAAGGAAGGAAGGAAGGAAGGAAGGAAGGAAGGAAGGAAGGAAGGAAGGAAGGAAGGAGAGAGAGAGCTCCTGGCATTGTTCGCCTCTCCTGTAGTTACCAAAAATCTTCAGCTAATGGGGTGCAGTTCAAGATACCTTCTAATGGTTCAGAAAGATTCATAAAGATTCAAATGTCTTTCTTTAAAACATAGAATTAATACTAAGCCCATCTGTCAAGTGGTCAACCATAAGTAAACAGATTCAGATAAAAAGAAAAGAAGATAATGAAAGATCATTCCTTGATTTATTATTAATTTCACAATATTACAAAATTAATTGCCCAAAGAGTATCTCTAAAGAGGGAATTTCAGGGAGAAAAGGAACATTATCCCTGTAGAACAATAGAAGCCTCAGTGAATTTATCTGCACAATGGAGTACTAGAATACATGATCTTCCCGTTATGAATGTCAGTGGATCCAAAGCATCATTATTATTTTTTAACCACATAGCAATGAAAGCATTGAACAGTCTAGATTTGATCTATTTTAGAAGAATTTATTTAAAAGAGAGGACAAACTTGAAGGAAAAAAGCTAAATTGATCATGCCCATACTACAACAGGCAATTACAAGAAACCAAAGTGGTTTTTCAATTTAAAATAGTTACTTTTTATAAAATGTTCTTTCAATCCTATTCTTCTTGAAAATAGCCACTCCAGTAATTCTAGAATAAAAAGACCTAAAATGTGATTTTAATTATAACTACAATGATTTTCATAGTAGGCACATTTTACCAACTAATGAGCAAAAGAATTTATTACTTGCCATTTGTCCTCTAGAGTATATTCTCCAATTGTACTACAGAAATTAAACTCCCATAGCATTTTTATTCTCCCTTTCTTTCCAAAATAAGAGGCCATTTGTATTATACTGAAAAATGTATAAAAAGTAACACACAAAAGACAAAACTCAGGTGCTAAGGAATAAAAGGAATGCTTCATAAAAATAGACTGCAGTTTTTTTTCCACAGGAAAGTATTTAAATAGCAACTTTAAAAATCAATAGGCTGAAGTGTTTTATAACATTCTTATGTAACTGACACCTTTTCAGTCTATGAACTCCTACCAGAAATATAAAGCATTCACATTCCAGTGAAAAACATTTAGCACATCAGCTTTTTAACATGCACTGTGTCAAAAATACTTATGTAGACCTTCAGTTTTTCTGTAAAGTATAAACAATGTCCAAATGATCAGCACATGCTAAGAAACAATGAGTGTTTTATATATTATGTTAAATTTTAATGACAATGGACAGAGAGACATAGTGATGCTAGTATTTGAGGTCTTTATATTTCTAGCAGTCTAAAGACAACGTGTGGTATTAAAATAGTAAGCTCGGGGGCATTGCTTGTCCCTTTATTTTGAGAATCTCCAATTTATGTGACAACTTAAAATATTTAAATAAATGGGAATCATCTATTTTGGCGACCAAATGAGAAAATACTCTTTAAAGTGAAATGTACCATACTACACACTTTATAATATCATTCCTATTTACCATCAGGTAGTAGAAATATTAAAGGGCGTTTTTTTTTCTCCCACACTTTCTGGTTATCAGAACTTACCTGCCCTGCAGCTTGCCAGGTAAAATTCATGGAATGGATATTGACAGGAATAGCTGGCATTCTCTGTTGTGCTTTTCTGAAATCATGTGTAAAGGGGGCCATTTTCCCCTCGGAAACAATCAGGATATCTTCTTCAAATCCTGTTTTTTTAAATAATAAGCAAAAACTATCAAACTAGGTGGACTTGAAAGAATACAAATCAGAAGTTTCATACAAAAAGAAAACCAAAGAATTACTACGGGTCACTTCTTGCCACAAAGCACCTGACTTTGGTACCCAAAACCCTACTGAGATTACTTTTCCTCTATACGTGCTTAAGGATGATGGGAACAGACACATGTTTTCAGGGCGGGGGAAATGGACATGGAGTTAATTGATACAAACTCTGGACGCACCTAAAAACGTAGGACTGTAACTACCAGCTGCATGATCAGATCATTTGCTCCACCTTCGTTTCTTGAGAGAAAAGTATTAGCATTCAGATGGGAAAAAAAAAATGGAACGGAGGTGGGGGCGGTGGGTAGCGATAGCCCTTGGACATTAAGTTTTAAACATATTAAGTGCAGGTATTCCTCCTTTCGTGGAGAGAGTGAGGACACCGGGCAGGGAASGGGCCCTTACCTATGAGCACTCTTGCCTGGTGCGCATCGATCCACAGGTATAGGCTCTCCTCCCGCGGCTGCCCGGCCTCCGCCCTCAGCACCAGCAGGCACGGGAGGATGCTCCAGAGCCGCAGCGCAGAGGCAGGGAAGGCGCTTCTCCGGGTCATGCTGCTTCGGACCTCCTCGCGGGTGGCGAACTCCTGCAGCACCTACCCGACCTGCGGTCCTTAAGTTCTTAGCTCGGCTTCAGCCCTCACCCGGAGCTGCTGGACGTGGAGCCTCCCGGCTCCGGTGAGAGTAAGCCTGGGAAGGAGGCGATGAGAAGGGAGGGGAAAGGAGGGGATGAGCGGGCGCAAGCCGCACAGGAGGAGGGGGCGCCAGCCCAGAGGAGAAGGCAGGGACGCAAGGCTGGCAAAGCCGGAGATGCCAGCACGCCCGGCCACGCCAACAGTCTGAGGGTCAAATACGGTGGAAGAGGAAGAGCAGAAAGGGCTGGCCAGAGCGAGGCACAAGCCAGAAGTGGGGGTCTGCGAGGTCGAGCCTGTCGCCGCCGGGGGGCGCTGCGGGCCGCGGGGGGCGGGGCAGCGGGGGACCCTGGAGTCCGCGTTAACGCTGCGGAGCGCCTGGTGGAGAGCTCACCAAGGCGCGGGTGGTCCAGACGCCCAAGGAGAAGCACACTCAAAGGGACCCCTGGGACGTCACGCGTCCCCTCTTCTGGTCAGAGAGGCATGGGGGTGGGGGAGTGGGATGAGCCGAGAAATGGGCTTTTTACCCTTTGCTAACTGAAGGCACAGATTCTACCCTCTCTCCCTCTCCGACAGTATATTCCCTCTCTATTCTCTCTTCACTCTCTCCTCCCTCGTTTTCCAAACACAGTCTTCTCTGAATCCCTTCCAGTTAACACTTGAGTCTTGACTGTCCAGTGGTGTTGATCGCAGGCGCTCAGCTGGGTTTAGGACTTTCTTTCTGCACTTGAGCGACACCCARCAGGTGTGGAGATTTGTCTTCCTGATAACCCAGCAGTACCTAGAAGAGTTCCCTAGGTCCTGGATGATAGCTATACCTGATCCCTGGGAGTCGTGATTATTTTCACATTTTGGCGATGGTTTTAAAAATGGGAGGCGGGTGTTCAGTTACTGAAAAACCAGGCAATTGGGGATTAACACCAAGGCTCTGCTGTGCTTGAGGAAGTGTACTTGGCAGGCAGTGGCCAACAGCATCACCTATCCAGTGGAATCACAGCACGAAGGATTTATGCCTCTTGCCCAATTCCCTGGATGTGCAAAGAACACAGAAGCAAAAGGTTTTTCAGAAACTTAGAAAGTTTTCAAGACAATGCTTTGTTTACTTCTCTTTGTTCTTTAGTACCCAGATGCTGAGACAAATGCCTCAAGGATCCTGTGTCTGGGGTTGGGCGTGGTGTTTCACTCAGTCCTTTGTAGAGAATGGGTACCTCAAAAGGGAAAAGCAAACAGAAACCATAGAGAAGAAGCTGGACATGTGCATAAATTAAGTTAAATAAACATTAGGCTATGGGACACTAGGAAAAAGAACAGAATGTACCTTTTCAGTTGTGAAATATGTCCCTTATCCAATTGATAGGACAAAATGGGGAGGGGGCAAAAGAATTAGACAAGAACTCTTGAGTAATATAAACTTGCGGTATCTTAATTTAAAAAAACTTTTCAATGCTTACTTAATTCTCTCACCTCTTCAAAGTACATTCTGTTATTATTCTCAAGGTTCCTAAAGTCTAGTAAGTTGACTGTGGATATCCAGTTCGACAGTCAGGATGCAAATCCCAAGCATCTGATTCCAAAGCCCATTCTTAGCCACTACCTTATTCTGATAAGTATTAGGTCTCTTTGCATCCAAAGCTTCAAAGCCATTCTTCCTTTAAAATATTTAGCTCTTGTCCAACAATTCATTACTCTTTGTTGCAGTGAATATTCATTTATATAATATAGTAATACATTAGGCAATATTTGAAGCACTTTAACACAGTAATGCCAGTGTCACTCAGTTAGAGATAATTTCACAACACAACAGACATTTTCTTTGACTAGGGAAGTATTGTTTTGATTGAAGATTTTCCCCCTTAGTAATTCTCAACTCTTTATGGCTCCTGGTGCAAGAACGCCCTCTACAGGTTGTTCTAATCAAATACTGAGAACTATCCATGTGATTTAGTTTTTGTTGAGAGAAAAAGAGGGACTAAATTTGCTTTTAATTCAATTTCCTCTGTGCGAGGCTCTTCTGCAGCAGTTGGATTTGGTATTGATGATAACAGTTATCTATTTTATTGTAAGGATATTTTCCATTTCCAGAATGCTTTTTTTTTTTTTCTGTTTACTTCTTCCCAGCAAAGGACACTTAGAAACATTCTATATTTTTTTTGTAGGTATATAAAGAAAAATGCTATTTAAGAAATCTTGGATTTAAGACATTTTGGCTTTTGAAAGAAGGGAAGGAATATATTATGTGTTATAAACAGTCAGCTATTTTTTATGAAACATAGGGTGTATCTTTTTGTGGGAAGATCCACCCAGGAGCTGAATCAGGCTTTGTTTCCATCCTTTTTATTGTTAAGGAAAAATAACTTTCATTTAGAGTAATGTTTATAATTTATCTACTCAAATAAAAATGTAACAACAGTTATTTTCACATAATAAAAATTTAGATATACTGTACTGGAGGCATTACAGATCAACTTTGTTTAGTTTGAAAATTCTACCCTTTATTTTCCAGTCCATTATGCTTCCTTTCCTTGTGTGATTCATGCTCATCCATTATGTTTGCAGCTTCATTTATTTGTTCATTAACTCATTCACTCATTGAACAAAGATTTATTAAGTATTCATTATATCCAGGATACTGACCTAGAAACTACAAGAAAAACAAAATACAACCTCATCCCTCACAGAGCATTTGGAACTAGTCAAATGACAAGCATCTAAACCGTCATAATATAAGGCAGAACATGATGATTTGATAAGATAGAAACAGGAAATCCAAAGAAGAAATCTCATATTTGAAACTGTGTTTTCATTTATTCATTCAAAATACATTTACTAAGTGTCTGATGTATGCACTGCACAGACACAGAGGATAGAAAAGCAAGTGAAAAGACAGCCCTGTTCTTGAAAAACTCACAAACTAACAGGGGAGTGTTGAGAATGAGTGTTGAGAATTAGAGAGGGATGAATGTCCTGGTAGGGACATGCACAGTATATTTTGGGACCCACAGAAAAGCCCCTTAATGCAGGCTGGGTTCTAAGAAGACCTCCTAGAGAAGAGGGTACTTGCACAGTCTTGAAGGTAAAAGGAAAATTAAACATGCAAGGAGACAGACGGGAGTCTGTACACAGAAAGCACCAGTAATGAGAGCAAAAAGACAGGACCAAGAATGGCACTCTGCAAGATGTGAGGGTGCTAATCTGTACATGATGAGCCTGTAGTGAGAGGAAGGAGGTAGCAGCTGGAGGTAAAGCCACAAATGTAGGTAGGAGCTGTTTACAGAAGATTATGCTGAGAATTCCAAAAACAGTTTTCCTCCTTTGGACACCTAGAACTGCAGATGGTACCAAACCCTACATTTTTTTTCTATATCTACATATCTATGATAAAATTTAACTCATAAATTAGGCACAGTAAGAGATTAAAAATTAAAAATAATAACCAATAGTAAAATAGAACAATTATTATAAGGTGCCATAATAAAAGTTATGTGAACGTAGAGTCCACTCCCCTTCAAAATGTCTGACTGTACCATCTTCATCCTTCTGTGTGAAGATGTGAGATGATGCAGTACCCACATGATGAGATGAAGTGCAGTGGATGAGGCAGGCCTTGTGACAGACATCATGTTAGGCTACTTTGTAATGGTTACTTGAACACAAACACTGTAATACTGTGGCAGTCAACTAATAACTGAGCCAACTGCTAAGTAACTAATGGGTAAGTAGCATATACAGTTGAGTTTATGCTGACCCAAGTCCTGGGCTGGATGAAAGGGAACCGTGTGAGATTTCACTCTGCTACTCATTATGCAATTTAAAACCTATATGTTGTTTATTTCTGGAATTTTCCACCCAATATTTTTGGGCTTCAGTTAACCACAGGTATCTGAAACTGCAGGAAGTAAAGCCACAGAGAACAGCAGAGAGGCTTACTGGAATTTATGTAGAGACACTGTCTTACATAACTCCCCCCTTCCTTAATTATGGATGTGCAGTGATGTCCTTTCATATAGAGCACTATAGAAAAAAAGGGCAAAAGTAACTTTATAAGGGAAAAAGCTGACAGACAGTACCTCCTCTAAGTGACCAGGGTCAAGGGCAACAACAGTAGGTCAAGTTGATAATATGTATCCTTGATATGATGTGATGAAAAGGGGATGTCATCTCTTTGGTTTTCCTCCTGAAAACCACCACAGTTCAATCATGAGAAAAATGTCAGAAACATCCAACTGAGGAACAGTCTGTAAAATACCTAATCAGACCTTCTCAAAATGGTCAAGGTCATCAAACACAAAGAAAGTTTGAGAAACTGTCACAGCCAAGAGGAACTTAAGGATACATCACAATTAAATGTAACAAGATATCCTGGATTGGATCCAGGAACAGAAAATGGACATTAGGCTAAAAACTAAGGGAATCTAAATAAACAATTAACAGTAATTTATTAATATTGGCTCATCGATTGTGATAAATATGTTAATGTAAGATATTAATAACAGAAACTATGAGGCATGAGGTGTAGTGGAACTTTCTGTGTTATCTTTGACATTTTTTGTTGTACATCTAAAAACTATTCTAAAATATCAAGTTTATTTTAAAAGTGATGAAGACCATGATACTTAAAAAAAATAACTTAGCTGTAAACATTTGACATCTAGAGTTCTCATTTTAAAAAATGAGATTTCTGGCTTCTCTTACAAATTGAGAGGTCTGGCAATATTTCCTTCTTTTAAAGGGATAATCAGATGGTGTGAACAGTGTTTGTCCTTCAAACAAGACAAGCACTGTCTTAGTTCTCATAGTTGTACCACTCCTCAACCAAGTTCACCTTTTAGCCAGACCTGCTGGGCTTTTGTATGGTCCTGAAATTTCTACCCATGGCATGGAGCGGCGACAGTGAACAGGGAAGAAGAAAGTGTCTGAGGGGGCTGTAACCTGTCTTCATTATGGAAGTGCAGCTGTGAGAGACAAGGGGCTTCTTGTCAGTGCCCAGATATTCACTCAGCCAAGCAAGCAGGACACTCCACCTTGTGGTCTCAGCCAGAACTCTCCTGGTGACTACAGGTGTTGGGACTGAGAATGGAACATAATCAGCTACACCCTGAGCTGTGTTTGGAAAAGGAGAGGAGCAAACACCTCATAGCACACTGCTGTGGAAGAGGAGTCATAAGAAGGAAATGAAAAGTGCAAGTTGC